CTGCACTCTGTGCTGCCTGGTGTTGGCTACAGCCCCCCCACACAGTTGACTATTACCAGACTTCACACCCCCCCCCCCCAGGATGTCCACATCATCCTATGGCCTTATTTAGCAATCAGGTTAATGCTATAATCACACCCAATTACTGCCATTTGATCTTCACTGAACAGCACGAAGAGGAATTACAGCTGTTGTTTTATGCAACTGATAAAGGAGAAATGATCCAGTAGAAATTTCGAAGCTTTGAAGTGTGTTTATGTCTCTGAGTTAAGGTGACTATCTGGGGGTATGTTGTCGCTGTAGTGTCTATGGTTAACGGTATCAGAATGATATTCTCCGCAAGATCCAATAGCCATTAACTCTCCTTTCAATCTGCTTGTTATCGAGTATCTGTGAGTTGTTACTGTGTTATGTCAGCTGTTATCTGTTAGCTATGAAGAATGCCATGGGTGACTGTGTCCTCCCTACCAGGTTCATCCTCAGTGCGGTTAATAGAGCAGTGGACCACCAGCATCAAACTGGTAATGGATAATTCGGTGCTCAAAAAATCTGAAGTATGTCCATTACAGATTTATTTTGGTGCCCATCTTTCAGAAACAATTCCACTTGGAGAACTATGATGACCTAAGGAGATGGACTGACTCAACATTAAAAGGAGCTTTCTGGCTTTGGCCAGTTTGCCCAGTAGCAGCGATGTTTCCCTGGCCAGCTAGCCACCAGAGGCCGTGTCTCTCTGCTCTTGTGGGAATTGCTGCAGTTTCCGCACACGTCTGCCCCACACCATCGAGGCACCAACAATTGTCTTTCCCAGCTGCACATTGTTTAGTCTCTTTTATTCTCACTAAAATACGTGATTCGATACAGTAAGTTAAAAGAAAGAAAGGTGTTAGATGCTCACTGCAACTAAAAAGGCTCCAACTGCTGCCTTTTACACAAGAAACAAATGTTCTGTCTGTCTGCCTATCTGCCTTTCTCTCTGTCTGTCTGTCTCTCTCTCTCTCTCACTGTCTGTCTGTCTCTCTGTCTCTCTGTCTGTCTGTCTGTCTCTCCCTCACAGTCAGCATGACTAACATCAATGTGTAATACCAGTTTTTTTAACATAATTTGGTATCATATTCAGTAACACCGTGAAATGCCATGGCAACTGACGTGTAAGCAATATAAACAAAGTAAAGATATGATTCCATCTATCCGTGTCTCTGTCTGGACCCATCTACATCAGTGCATTTATAAAAGAAAGCGGGAAGAGATACCAAGGAGTGAAAGGACTGGTTGATTGCATCACTAACAAGATTATCCTGGAATTCCATGGCGGGGGATTGCAGGCTAAGCTGCTGTTTCAGTCTTTTATTTTTTAATAGGGGGCTTCACATTTGTTCAGGTGTTTTACTCTGTTTATTCTGTCTCACACCCCCAGCAACTGGGGCATTTGATAGCAAAGCCCTGATCTCCTTACGCTACTCCTGAAGTTCCCTTATCCAGCAGTTTAAGGCTGCCACCATAAATTTGCATGTGGTTAAGCCAATTAAGCCAGATGCTTAATGATGCATTTATGGGTCATCCATGCTTGAGCTTTCAGATGCTATAACAGATGTGACTGCATTGCATTACAAGTTGGGTATCAAAAACCTTTCTACTTAGAGCCCATCCTTTGTTCTCACCTATTGTTCTGCTGATAAAGGTATACATGGCCCTCCTGTTTTAGAAACAGATCATTTCCATTTATTTACGTAGCAGACATATTTATCCAAAGTGATGTACAGTTGACACAGCAGAACCAGCCAGTCCCAGAAGCAGTCAGGGTTGAGGGTCTTGCTCAAGGGCCCAACAGTGAAGCTGCTCCTTCAAGAACAGGATTTGAACTGGCGACCTTCCGGTCACATGCTCCAGCAGCCATTCACCGACCCCCTCAGCAGAGATTCCTTTTAAAAACAACAAGAGTGCAGCTCTCCGAGAAGCCAACCATACATATGAGCTGGCTTTGAACTGTCTACCTCGCTGAGGTCTACGGTCTTCAGTGCACAGTGCCTAGGAGGGAGAAGCGGTCAAGTTCCTAGATCTCTCTACCAGGCTCGGGAAAACACAGACCACCTCAAACTGTGGACAGACACCACCTCCCAGTCAAGCTCAGGTCTTCAAAGAAGCTCCCCATGAGGTAGTAGGGAACAAAACAAGGTATCAATGACAACAATGCCTGGCTGTCATCTGCGAGCATATTGGGCTGGGAATTCCCCGCTACTGTGTACTGTACTGTGCTGGTGTATGGCTTGCAAACTGTCTAACCTCAGGATCTAAAGCAACTGATGTACAGTATGTGTTTTTGCAAAAGTCTGTTGGTTAATCACAGTTTCAGCTGAACCTATTAAGCCATGAATGGCATTGGTAGGTGTGCAACTTCATGCAATTCACCCTCCAGGTTATCATTAATGTCTACATTCATAACATGAACAATGCGAACACATAATATCTGGTTAAGGAGCAGTTGGCCGTGTGAGTCATGGCCGTAGGAAATCGCTGGATCCCACAGTCCCACAACCTCTTCCCCTGAAAACGAGTCAGGCTTACCGCAGTCTGCTTATGGGATTGCATGTGTGCTCCACAGGGGCTCCGTGACCAGCCTGGTGTCTCATCAGCACCTCGGCCTCCAGCCAATCACAGGGCAGCTCCCCCCACTCCCGTGAGAGCCTCACGGACTGAGGAGCAGCACTGGCAAGAGCTGCACTGAGCAGAGGGCAGGCAGGAGCACGTGCACTGCGATACAGAGCCGTAACGGGCCATAGAAATAGATGGGACTGAAGTCACTGAAAGGAACTGAACTCCAGGTTATGTAGGAAGACTCGTAGCTTAATTGCAGTATTTACATGAAATCTAGATTTCCAATGGTTGGAATTTCTAAACATTAAGGATTATATTAATTTCCAAAATAAAAATAGTGTAGTATCTCTGTACTGTTATGGAAATTTAACAGGTTATTACACTGGAATTCTCCTTATGTCTGCGAAGGGGGGGGGGGGCACTGGAATTCTCCTTGTGTCTGTGGGGGGGGGAGGGGGGGGGCACTGGAATTCTTCTTATGTTTGTGGGGGGGCACTGAATTTCTTCTTATTTTTTTGCAGCTTTTCACTCTCAGGTCAGAAAAACAAGAAGAGAGTCTGGCAGATCTTGTATGTGTCCCTTGTGCTGTACCCAGGAGCTCCTGACAAAATGTCACCTTTGGTCCCCCTCAGGGAGGGGGGACAGTATAATTTGGGGCTCCTATATAATGCTGGCCTGGTGTCCGCCCCTAGTCGTTCCTTGCTCTTCTCAGGACTGGGGGGTGCAATCTGCCCCTGAGGCCATCCCTGTACTTAGGCTGTGATACATTTCCTAATAACGAGCATCTGGTTGTCATCATCTCGTGAAAAGGAGGTGGATTCTCATCCTGTGCTGCAGTTGCACGTCCTGCATGAAGAGATCAGGTGTAACCAGCAAGGTAGAAAAACAGCAGGAAGTGTGCGTGTGCCCAGCTGAAAATCTGTGTCCGTACCTGGTAGCAGACCATATTGTGTGGAATCTGAAGCCCAAAAGAAGCTTTAAACCAGCAAGCTTTTGAATTACACGAGGGCTGGCATATCTGAAGCCCATTTCACACACTTCTGAATCATTTGCTGGATACATTTTATGAATGGTTTTCTCTATTTTATCTGAAACGGCTCCTGTTCACCATCTGGACTGCAGACACACACATTTGATATTCATACTCAGAAGAAATACTCTGGCCCTCGTTAACATGTTTTTTTTCTTCCTGTTAACAGTATTTCATATTCCTTTACAACATGTTAAAATAACACGGAGCAGGATTAGTTTAATAAAAGAGCAATTTAGAACGTACACAACAAAAAAGTTGGAAATGCATATATTTGTTTTATTTCAAAGGTAAATTATCGTGAAAATTAAACCTCCCTGAAATCGGGCTTTTCATTATTGGCTGCATTGGGATGGTCAGCACTGCGTATGTCCGGTGTGGTGGCAGGACCAGATAGATCAGGGGTGGCCAATCTTATCCGCAAAGGGCCGGTGTGTGTGTGGGTTTTCGCTGCAACTCCCTAATTAGATAACTAATAGATAACTGACTGATTGGCTGAAAGAGTCCTCACACCTGGGTTTGAACAGCTGACCTACAGGTTTTCCCAAAAACCTGCATACACACCGGTCCTTTGCGGATAAGATTGGCCACCCCTGAGATAGATCAAATCGATCAATCCAAGCATTTATCTATCCACCAATCGCAAATTGGTCAGGGTCGCAAGAAGATCGTTACGCGTAAAAGTGAATAACTACTGTAATGCACACAACTTACCAGAGGGCGTCGCTGCTGCACTTCGCATGGCAAGAAGTACATGTATTTCACTAGGAATCCAAAAACTATATTTCTAAGGAGTATCGTATTTAATTTTGAAATGCAATTTTTCCTGGATTTTAAAAATGTAAATATTATAAAGGGGAGTACATATTTTGAGTCCATGTAATGTCTATACTGGGGGACGTACAATACAAATATCACTTCTTTAAATTCGCATTATATGTGTAAGCGGACCGCACATGCACACTTCACTTAGTACAGAAACACACTAAGTGAACGTGTGATCGACGTTAAAAAGATGTTCTGCTTAATTAAATAGATATGCTGTAGGCCGTATTTTTTATATGAAATATAAAAAATGAAACTGATGAAAACGTACATTAGAATAAAGTGCAATAATGATCCGGGAACAAACCAGCATCCGGCCGGCTAACAGAAGAATCCAGACAATAGGATTTAATGTACTGCAGTGATGCTAGGAAAATAATAATAATAATAATAAAATAACAATAATAAAAAATAAAATAATAAAACTGGTTTGGTGGTCTTTTCGCAAGGGGATAAATACCATAATTAAAATGTGGCTGGCTGGTTATTAGGGTTACGTTAATTTTTCTAACATTTCTCTGAAATTAAAAAAAAAAAATGATTCGCGACATTTTTATTACATTTCTTTATTGTCCAAGTACCTTTTAAAGATAACTGTACAAGTCAGCAGGCTTAAGTATGACCTGGATCCTAAACGTCCAAATCTTCTGCCGGCTAAAGACACTCGTATGAAAATGTACATATTTACATAGAAAAATGGCATATCCAGATTAATGCAGTGACAATTAAGAAGGAAAAAATGTCTAATGAACTGTCCTAAATAAAAGGCAAAAAAAAACAATAAAAAAATAAAATAACACTCGTCCCTGGATGGACAGACATCCTTCTGACATTCTGGAAATAATACGGCTGACCTTCAGAGCAGACGGCAACAACAAGGCACTCTGTGACATATTTACATAAAACCTAGGTTAAATTAGGATAGATCGCTTTTGGGGGCGTTCACAGTAATCACCGTCAGTCTTTTAATCGCACATGGAAAAGTACATATTAATAACTAAACGGACGAGCTTTATTTTCTGCCATTTGCAGCAGCGCCGAATCTGACATTTAAGTACCAATATAATTCAAGTGTGCTTTCAACGCGTTGGGTTAGGGGGTCGAGATCCATTACGTGCCCTAATGAATCTCTCACCACGATGCTTTAATTTTGTACAAAAATGCAGTAGAATGTCATATAAATAAAGAGAAAATAGCATTTGGAGAGGATTTTGGAAAGTTCCTTTATGGGTGCAGCCACACGCAGTGCCGCGCCCCGCAGTTTACCACTTAAAAATAATTCCTACCGATAATTTCCCTCCTAAATATATTTTTTAAATGACCCCCCATTCGCAAAAAAAAAAAATTAAAAATTAAAATTAAAAAATACAAATCTGGGGGAGGAACTGCGAGTCATTTAAATGGAAAACATACATTTTAAAGAAATTGAAATGTAATACGTATGGTGCTCTTTGGTGTCTATTGATCTAGCAAAAGGTAGATCACTTTGCACGAAATAGTAATAATAATAAAATAATTATAAAATAGTAATTATAAAACAATAATAATAATAATAATAAAATTACTACCAGGCACCTGAAATTTAGCCAAAATACGCTAGAAGGCTATGATTTAGAGTTTAATTTTATTTTTTTTACATTAAGGCGTAGACGTATATTTTGCACGGGGCTTACAGTGCCAATGCAAATGACAGGACAGCGCTGAGCTGGTGAAATAGATTTGTGCTGCCTCAGCTTTTGCTGCACCACTGCTAAGGGGGCAGGGGCTACGCTGAAGGGTACCGTGGACAGGGCACCTTTCGGGCGCCGAGCCCCCCGCCCACCCCCGGGGGAGCGGGGATAGACACATGGGGCAAACAGGAAGCAGTACTGTTGTCTGTTAGACGGTATTCGTGTTGAGCAAAAATCTGGCGCTGCGATGAGCTCTTAAAAATAGACACTTTTGACAGGGAAGGAAGCAAATTAAAGATGTACGAGGAGGATGGCTGGCGCCATGCGCATAATTAACAGGACAAAACCAACTGCTTGCCTTTTTTTTTTCCAATAATTAAATATATTATATAAAAACTTCTCTTCTTGCTTTTAAAAGGTCACAGGCATTAGACGGCCCGCACACATCTAGCATACTTAACAGTACCTGTACATATCAAAATTACAAGAAAGCGTTGTTGCAGTAGAAAGGATACCTTCCTTCTATTAATATCATATCAAAAATATGCAGCTTAGTAAACATATTCATCATACAATTTCTCTGGTACAACTTTAAATGCTACATGACTGAGATAGAAATGTACCAAGGTAAATATCAGGCTGCCTTCTTCCTTCGTTTGTTCTTTGTTTTTTTCCTGTGTATAGCAGTTTCTGCTGGTGCCGAGAGGTGGTGAAGGAACGGTGAACCGACAGGGCAGAAACAGGAGTATTTAAGTCCACGTGGTATCACACACACTACCTGCTCCGTCTGTTTGCTCCTCTAAAAAACACTCCCACCAGAAGGTAGACATCTGCTGCACCTTCAACCGGTCGCTCCTCAAACCCTGGTCCAGATCATGTTCTCATCCACCATCTTGAGGTGGCCTCCTGTGGCAACTTCGCTTTCCATGGGGGGGGGGGGGGGGGCTTTGCTTTTCCCGCCTCTTCTCTCTGGCCCCGCCCCCCCCCAATTCAGTCAATCTTCTCCACCTTTCCGACGATCTTCTCCTCGTAGATGGGCAGTATGGCGTCGTCCTCGCGCACCTCTTCGAACACCACGCCACAGTCAAACTCGTGGCTAACCTTCTTAAAGTAATACCTGGAGGGAAGTATGAAATTAGCTCCAGGAGACCGGCCCGGTGGGTGAAGGCGGGCAGCCAACTCGCGCCACAAGCGGCGTCATGACAAAAGCAAACTAGCAAAACTTCAACCACAAAAAAAGACCATCAAACACGGTACCTGTAGCTGCCTTTCTTTGTGAGCAGCTCTTTGAACTGTCCGAGTGTGACTATCCTCCCTTTGACAGATGTCCGGTAGGGGATGGGCTCTCCGCAGAAGTAGTAGGCCACAGTGATGTTTTCACAGGGCGTCCTCTTCGTCGCCTTGTGCCTGCAAGAGAACATAGGCTCAAAATGCCGCAAGGAAGTTTCCAGGTTTCCACAGAGTCACACCACTGTTCCTCTGTGAAACCAGGGCCTGCAATATCGCACAACCACAAACGAGAACAAGAAAAAAAACTGCTCCTCAGGTTTCTGCAGATGAGAAGCTTCAGCCAGCTTCTCATGATGCAAGTCTGAGAAACGCAAACCCTGTTGTTTTCTTTTTGAACCATTTCCTGTAGATCTGAGTGCCCCCCCATACACTGGGCTCTTCACACAACTGACAGCCCACAGTGGGCGAGATGCTGACTTATTAGCGTGTGATTTGGCTGCAGAGTTATGGGACAGCGACTGTTAGGCTTCCTGCAAGAGTACAGCGTAAAGGCGGAACTGTGACCTTGTTCTGTCCAGCCTTGTCAGCATAAGGACAAACCCTTCAGAAAAAAATCTGAAATCTCCATGCACATCCCCTCCCATAACATTCACAGGCAGCATTTCGGCATCTGGATGATGGAAAGGTGATATAGGAGTAACTCAATGTCTTTTTTTGGGCCCTGAACATGCCCACCCAAAGTCAGCATGCAACCAATCAGAGGCCCTAGACATCCAGTGAAGGGAGGAATGGGGGCAGGGCCATCAGGGGCTATTTGCGACCAATCAGAGGACGGCATCCCTCCGATTACTGAGCAAGCCAAAATCCCATCCACACAAAAATGTAGCTCAATTGAAGCATTCACAGACAGGATGCTGAAATACGGGCGTACCAGCTGGAGCAAAAACGGCAACATTTTCACCTTAGGATCTCACTGATTTTTATGCATCATTTGTTTCAAAGGTGCAAACTTCACAGTGCTACCACTATTCCTTAAACAATGTTTTGAAAACCGTAATGACTTTCTTAGGAGGTGAAACATACAAACACGGATTTGTTAGTATGCTACACGTGTGGACATGCCAGAGCAGGGCTGTTAGGTTTTATGCTGCAGTGTTTCCCAGCCGGGCCCTTGGCGACCCCCAGATGGTCAACATTTTTGCTCCCACCCAGCTCCTGGTAATGTAGACTGACAGGGAGCAAAAATGTGGACTGTCCAGGGGCCCCCAACGACCTGGTTGGGAAACACTGTTACAGGACTGTCTGTAGATGGAGGTCACTGAATGGATGGGGTGGGGGGGTGGGGGGTGCAGGCACACAGCACTAGCCTACAACAGTCTCTCTCAAGCCAGCCCTCAGGGACCACCAGACGGTCCAGCTGTGATGGAGCAAAAATGGAGACCGTCTTGGGGCGCCCAAGGACCTGGCTTGGAAACACTGGGCTACAGCTATGGCAGGGTGAGCAGGAGGGTGGAGGAGGGGAACGGCTATGGGGAGAGCAGCTGAACCTACTCAGGCTCCGAGAGGTCAATGTCGGAGACAGCCGGCACCACGCTGAAGGCGGGGATAAGGGCGGGCCGGGCGGCTGTGCGCCCCCGCTCCATCACCTCCAGCACATACCTGGGGAAGGACGCTGGGAATTAGGCAGCGTCCGCGGGGCGTGGAGGGGTGTGGGGGTCCTACACCACAATGCTCCATTCAAGCAGATACTCACACACAGAATCTCTCTCACTCTCTCTCCTTTCTCCCAGTCTCTCCCTCTCCATCCCCCGTCTCTCCCTCTTTGTCTCAGTCTCTTTCCATCTCTCTCTTTATCCCTCTCCCTGTCTTTCTTTCCCTCTCTCTCTCCCTCTGTTCCTCTGTCTCCATCTCCCTCTGTTCCTCTGTCTCCATCTCCCTCTGTTCCTCTGTCTCCATCTCCCTCTGTTCCTCTGTCTCCATCTCCCTCTGTTCCTCTGTCTCTCTCTCCCTCAGTTCCTCTGTCTCTCTTTGCCTTCCTCCCCCAGTCTCTCTGTCTCCCTCGGTCTCCCTTCATCCTGTTTCCCATACACTGCACACAGGTACCAGCACCTTCCCACATCCTCATCATGCCCAGACCGCCATGGCCCCCATGGTACTCCAGTCATGAGCCCATACTGCTGTCTACTACCACGAGAGCGACCTTCTCCCCACCAAAGCAGCACCTTCCCTTGATTGAAACTGGGGGAACCCCTGCACTGGGGCAGCTGGAAGAACCCCGCCGAGGCTGGAGGAGCCCAGCCCAAATCCCCGGAGCCCAACCTCTGCTTGGTCTGCAGTGTCCCGCTCCTCCTCTTCTCCTCCTCCAGCCGGCGCCGTGCCTCCTCCAGTTGGGTGAGGGGGTTGGGGGCAGGGTTGGGAGGCATGGTTGGGTCCTGGATGAAGGGGTGGGAGGGCTGCACGGTGTTACGGAGCTGGGCGCTGATGCGGGAATGCACCGGGCCGGGCCTCTCCACTGAGCTGAGCCGCGTGGCCTCGTGGCCCGGCGGCTTTTTGGATCCTCCGGGGTTCCTGTACAAATTCCACAGAACCCAATTAGCTACATCACGGCTAATGAAATGACTGACAGACCATCGCCCCCTAGCCAGACAGAGCCGGCCGGCTTACCCGTGAAGATTCTTCTTCCTACATGCCTCCTTCTCCCCCTCCATCATCCACTGGATGATCTGCCGGTTCCTCTCCAGGTCCTCAGAGGGCATGAGCAGGTCAAAGGCCCGCACCTCGTCCACCTTCTCCGGAAGCGCCTTCTTGAGCGTCCGCTTGGAGAGGGTGCCCCCTTTGCTGCTGAACAAACAAGCAAACGCGGTCAGTCCAAAAGGGCGGCGTGTCCCCTTTAAGAGCCAAGGCCACACCCACACACGTGCCTTTTACTGCCATCTCATCGCAAACGCTGCCCACTGAACTCGCCAATTGAAAAAATTAAATTTAATAATTTCTCTGATGAAAACCCACAGAATATGAAACAGAGTGAGGACTTGTAAAAAAAAAAAAAACTAGCTATTTATATATAAACACTCACTTTTACGGGCACAAACAAACAGGCCATTGATATGAAGTGGTTAGCGTGTTTCGAGGGTGTGATCTGTGCCCACCTGCAAGCCAGCGCCTCCACCACGTTGATGGCCATGTTGTCGCCATGGCCGCGGGCTCTGCTTGCATAGTGATGTGCCTCCAGGCCCCAGGCAAAGCCGGCCTGCACGCGTAGCGCCGCCTCCGCCTCCAGCTGCTCCTTGGCGGGCTTACCGCCAGCGCCGTGGTGATGGTGTGCGTGCTTCTGGTGGTATGGGCCAGCCAGCTCAGCCTTGGAGACCGGCTTGGCCGTGTATTTGCCGTAGCCCTGGGGCGAGTGCCGTCCCGTGCCGGGGGACTGGCAGCCGGGCGTCTTCATGACGCGCTGCACGTGCTCGTCCAGGATGCTCTCGGGGTTCTCCTCGTGGGCGTCCCGCAGCTGTAGCCCGTTGTAGCCAAGATCGGCGTAGCGAGTTCCGGCGTAGTGCTGGGGGTGGGAGGCCGGGGGCAGCCTTTGGCTGGACAGGGAGGGGGCCGTGGACACATCAGCATCCTCGCCTTCCTCCTCCTGGGAAACAAAGAAATTAAAGCTAAGGGGATGCATGCCAACAACCGGGCTGTTAATCACCGAGCAGCGTGTCTGCAGGTGCGCCTCCTAATTACTGAATTAGTACTGTCACCACAACACTCAAACTCTCCTAGTTTGCAGTCATTCTATGATGCAGTCAGAAAATGCTGTGGTTCGGTGCTGGTCTTCAATAACTGAGCCGGTCAGGCCAGAGGACCCGATTCAGGGAGGAATCTGGACACCCCCCCGGCCGACTTGGTACGGTCCAGATCTGCAGATTTGCAGGGTGCATGCATGCATGTGCTTTGCGTCTCCTGGGACAGGTGTAACTTTGGTTTGAACATTGATCTCCACCCATTTAGGGGGAAATATGATTGGGGGGGGGGGTTGTAATTGTTGTACTGAAACTCTTCCCTGCCCATTTGTTAAATCAGAATCCTAATTAAACCTCAAAACTCATAGGGGTCCTGCCTTTATAGTTCAAAGCTGATCACCCCTTACTGCAGGCCTCTCTTAGGCGAAATGAAAGTGAAAGCACGGGCCAGTCACAGAACGCGGGGGAGGTTTTTCCCAACTGCTCCACCTTGCAAGCCACGCCCTGCCTGTGCCATCCGCGGACCTTGGTCAAACACGGGAGGATACATTCACATACGGAATGCACCACAGCTGGGATTTTCACTCCGCTAGGCAGACACTGTCGCTCCCATTCAGGGATATCAGGCGGAAATTCTGGTGATCTAATTCGAATTTTCTCACTGAAACATCCAGGATAAATATTTCACATAAACAGGAATTTGAACGCAACGCCGTGCACACTGCCCCCCCACCCAACCCCACATCATTAACGAGGTCCGGGTTCACACCTGACAAGCCCCTGCGACTCTACAGCAACTGGCAGGTCCCCAAAAGTCAATAATTCTTCTGAATGACATTTCAAAAACACAGCTTCACAAAAATCTAATTAGTGGGGCAATCAGCCCTCAGAGTAACCACAGGATTGCGGATTGCTGCCAGCTCAATATGATGAACAAGGATGTTTTTTTTATTAGTACAAATCCAAAATCAGAGCAGGGTAGCTGTCGAGAAGGTGAAACTATAGCCAGCCCAGAAAGCCAGAATGGAATGCTTGCAAATAAATAAATAAATAAAATACAACAGACGCCAATCCCTGAGGGAGAGGCGGTAACAAGAATAACAAGGTGGAGGCATGGAGAGCCTTTTGTTTTGCGGGTGTAATGACCGAAAGCCATCGAAACCGCGACACCACCCTGCGCGTCCGTGAGACCAAACAATGCGAACGAGCCACCCGCAGACTCAGCGCGTCGTCGTTCTCACGTTGCAGTTAAATCGAGCCAGCGGCCTGGGAACACCGCCGTCAACGGGGGATCGCACCCAACCACGAAAGCGGGGCCACGCCCCCAGCCTGCCAGGACAGGAACGGCGGGCGGCAGCTCGATTCCACGGACGTTCCTGCTGGAACGGGTGCGTTCCCGTCACTCGGAAGTCTGGCGGTTTACGAGTTAGCAAAAATAACACGAGAATCTTCCGCACAAACATACACAAAAAAAACCCAGCTCGTTTACATGTGTAAACCTCTCCTCTGTGCTTGTTAAATTTCACCACCAGTGGCCTGTACTACGAAGCGGGGTTACTGGCTTATCGGGGTAACTTGTCGGATTTAAGGTAGTCTGGGCAAAATGTAAGTGAACGAATATTAAGTCCATTTAAACTGTGGTACCTTACATCCGACAAGTTACCCCAGTAAGCCAGTAACCCCGCTTCGTAGTACAGGCTACTAATCGATTAATTACCTTAATCAGTTAAATAACTGATTAGTTATACATGGTGTGGGGGCTGTTGAGAGAAATACACGGGTGTATTGGACAGCTTCTGCAAATACTGGGGTGACTTTAGGAGAGGTTCTGAAAAGGCTAAACTAACACATATTGATAACCATAAAATCAGAGTTTGACACCAAAATAAAAGGTTATTTAAACATTATTTTCTTTTGCACAGCACTATATGCAAGTCAGAAAGACACACAGTACGACAGAGAGCAGCCACATCTGCGCGAGAGGGACTGTCAGGCGAGGCTCTCCTACCAGCCGAACCCGCCTCAGTCGCTCCTCCAGCTTCTCCTGCGCCTCCCTCTCACGCAGGACGCCCTCTAGCTTGCTGATGAGCTCGGCGGCAAACTTCTGCGGGTCCACGTGAACGTCCTTTGGCATGCGGTACGTGCGCTGCAGGGAAGACGGGCGACAGACAGGGGGAGTGGCGGTCAAAGACACGGTATGGAAGCAGCGGTATCCCAAAGGGCTCCATGTCCATGTGCAAACTCTGACAGTCTCGCTCAGATCGGCATCATAACCCATCAGCTTAACAGCTACTGGAAGGGGGGCAGATTCAGTGTGAACTTTGGTGGCTGGTCCGAAACAGCCGCGAGGACCCCAGACATCAGTGACATGGGACACTGTGAGATAAGATGACTGTTGTTCATGCATGCTTAATTGGCCGGGTGCTGTGATCATTCACAACCGCGATCCTCCATGTACCCCGAACAACACTCAAACTCGCTTCCCGGCTTCTGCGAGGGAATATGAGAGGCAGGCTGCCGGGACACACGAGGGAGCCGGTTTGCTGATGTCAAACACAGCACTTCCATGTGTCTTTACTCTTATTATTCTTAGATTTCAATTTCAGCCAAATTGGATTTTTTTCCAAAATAAGCCTTTAAAAAAAAAAAAAAAAATCAATAAATCTCACTCATGCACCGGCCAATCACAGCCCTGCCTGCCTTGGCATCCACTGGGAGGGGCATGGCGCGTGGAGTCCTACGCTTTGAAACACAACAGGACCACTCGTGTGAATAAATAACAAGAATGGCATCCTGACAGCCCCCGCCCCCCCCCAACCCCCGGCCCCGCAGATCCCGGCGTGCCAGGATCGCTTCCACTGCACCGCTAACAAACTGTCAGGCAGCGGAGGTGGTACCAAAGCCACCGTTCCATGCCGACAAACACTCTCTCCACGATAACACAGCTGGCCGGCCGGGGCTGCTGATACAGCCAGAAAAATTAAAACTTCGCTGCAGAAAGGAGAAGTTTTTATTCGTCTTTTGGGGCTCAGAACCTAATATTTTTCTCTGGGAAAAAGTGGCGTAGAGATTAGCTTATGTGCGTGTAAATTCTCTTAAGAAGGGGAGCGTAATTGAGCGTGCTCGGCCCGCCCCCGCCCCCCCCCCGGACCGCCGACCGTAGGTCCCAATTAGGTGGAACCTCACAAGGAGAGAGATGAATAAAGCAGGCGGCAGAGTCAGAAATGACTGCTCAGATCTGCCGCACCACCGCACAAAACGCCGGGGAGGCAGGAGCGCCCGGCGCCTGCATTTAGACAACTCGCTCCCCGCATCCACCTTCCGCAGTCACATGATCAAAGGGCCCAGAGGCTCTGCCGAGCAGCTCCAGAGTGCGGAATCTCATTTTCAGGGGAGAAAGAGAGACGGGAAAAAAAAAATATATATATATATATATATATATAAAAAAATGGAGGGGAGCACGCCTTTCTTCAAACGACGACTCCCAGGGGGAGATGACTCTGAGATGGGACCAGCAGCTTCTGCCTGAGAAATATGGACTCCTGTCACCCAAGCCACCCCCCCCCCCACATGGGGTTCACACGGGGGTGCCTGTACTCTTTTGTCAGTCGTGAGAGGGGCGGTCAGGTGGCATGAAATGTGTCAGAAAGCCCATATTTGCACAGCACACAGGAACGCCCACATATCCATACAGACACACACGCACGTATGCTAGCATAGCCATCTCTGGGGGCTTTTAATGCTTTAACACAGGGGACAATCTCTGAACTGCACACCCAACAGAACAGCAAGCACACTCAGACACACACACACACAGAGACAGAGAGGCAGACGGGCAGGCAGATAAACAGGCAGACAAACAAGCGGGCAAGCAGGCAGTGAGACAGGCAGGCAGGCTGAAAGACAGGCAGACAGGCAGGCAGAGTGACAGCCAGATAAACAGACAGGTAGGCAGGCTGAGAGACAGACAGGCCGATAAATAGCCAGAAAGACAGATCGGCAGACAGGGGGAGGTGTCCGGCATGTACTTACGGGAATATGAGGTAGTGGCACTCGTCCGTTGGCTTTGGCGCTCTCCTGCATCTCCCGCCGGTGCTGCTTGCGGTAGCGGTATGGCGGGATCCCATCCCTGCAGCACAGAGGGACGGTGCTCACCTCAGTGTCTCAGTGGAGACCAGCGGTACTGGTGCAAACGCTCACCTAGCCCTGCACTCCACACCCCCAGGAACACACCAACATGTTAAGCGCTAACAAGTTTAACACAGCCTCATTGGGCTCCTATTTTTCGCCTCTCCCCCCCCCCCCCCTTGCCTCGGGGGGGGGGGGGGGCATCGGGGTTACCCCCACACTACCTGATGGCTGGAACTCAGGGAGGGGTGCTGGGTGGCTCAAGATATTTGGGGGCCAAGGCTGTTGGTCCGAAGCCTCCCCCAGAGACAGACGACCCCCCCACCCCCCAAAACACTACACAGTCCATGCAGTGACAGATGCGGGTGGGCGGGGCTCTGGGCAGCACGCGGCCGGTAGCGGCTCCTGAAATCTGCGCGTCTCTGCTCTGCTGGAACTTTGATGGCTCTGATAAACC